GTTCACTTTTTTTCCTTCAACAAAACAGTTAAGATTCCAAATTTATTCAACAATTTACTGATTTTATGTGTTTTTTTTCTTTAGGCTTATTTTCTTAAACATATGACCCAACTTTTTCTCTTAGAGAAAAGAGCACATATATTCACTTCGTGGATTGTTGTCCGCAAGAGAAACTTACAGATTACTTCATTTCGCTGGGTATTTAATTTTACCTTCAGCCTTGCAAATTTGTATTATTTAATGAAATGACACATGCTTTCTTTTATGCAGAAACCTTTGGTCTAACCTGGAAATTTTCTGTTTGGCCGACTGATCAATGCCGACGGGTAAATGTATAGTTGGTTGTAAAAACTTCTTCAATATTCTTGGATGTATCCTGACAACACTGAAAGGAATTACCATGTGGTCAGGTTTTTCAGATTGTGTTGTACAATTTCATATGTAGAATTAACCATTGTAAAATTCAATCATGCTTTTTTCTTAATGTGATGTGTTTCAGATAACGTGCTCTTCAACTAAGCGGTTGCAAAGCTTTTGTATAAAACTTTTAGCGTTTTATCCATCCTAGCAATTAGTCTACTAACTTATGCCTAATTTGTTAATCCCCTACCAAAATAAACAAATCATTTTAGTTAGTTTAAGCCAAATCACGTTAGTATTTTAGTTGTTTCATATACGTCAAAATAACACAGATTTTGTGCCTTTTGTAAATTTGTAATTATTGTGGGAGAAATTGCAATGGTGAACGGGAACAAAGAAAAGAATGGTGTTATTCTAGCCAAAAACCTTTTTCTCACTACATTGGGTACGATTGGTTAAATTTCAATTCATTGTAGTTGGATTGAAGCAATATTCTCTAATTTTTTTTTTTTTTTCATATAATAGTCCAACGTTTCATAATTTTTCTTATTCGCTTGCAGTGTGGAAAGGTTGTTCCTTATCTCATGGCCATGGCCTTTGTTGCTGCCACAAGTGCAAGGACGGAGCCAATGAAGGCTCACTGGGGGCATATGTCCCCACTCAAGTGATTCGTTTGTTAAGTCGTAGACTACAATTATATAATACACACGCGTTATTTTTGAAGAAACTATATGTACCTAGTATCCAACATACTTTTATACTGCGTATACTCGATATCAAATATTATATGAGCAAAAGTGCTTTTGTTCTGTCATTCAAACCGAAAAACCTCACTCTTGCGTAATTATGTATTAATATTTTTCTTATCACTTTGCCCTCTTCCACTGCTACACTGAAATTTTTGTAACATTGGAATTGTGATACATTATCATTTGAAATCATCCCTATTTTCATATTGGTTATAAGCCATCCTATAATAAGGTTTTCTTAATTGATTTTCAGATTGCCCCCACTAAAAGAAATTTCTAACTCCGTCCCTGCACAAGTGATACACATTTCAATTCACTTTCTGTGAGTAATTTCTCAATGTTTGTCCATAGTTCACACTAAATTGTTAAAAAGAATTCATTCTGCTAGAACCTGAAACTGAATTTAACTGCTCAAATTTGTATCTAAATTGATTAACTTATTGTTCTCATGTTTTGGATCTTTACAACACTACATTTCTTTCTTTTCTATGGATGTGTTTTCTTCTTGGTTCTAAAATGTAGTTTGCAAATGAGAATCCATGTGTCACTAATCTACCACAACTCAAAAGTTCCAAATCAAGAAGAGTTGGTCAAAGAGGCAGTGGCAAGTACTTTACAGAAGGCTCTTAGTTTTCATTCAATGATCAAGGCATATGACAATCATTGTATATTACAGAAGTCACATGTTTCAGCTCTTGGGTTTAGTAAGGGAAAAATTTATATATCCTGTTTACGTGTAACTCAATTTAAATTTAAGGGATTGTGTTTTCAAATGTTGCCTGCTCTTACTTGCATATATATCAAAATAATAATGATTTTTTGTCTTCTATAAATTTGTAGTTATTGTAGAAGAAACTACAATGGTGAAGAGGAACAAACATAAAACTAGTGCTATTCTACCAAAAGACCTTATTCTCACGAATTGGGTACGATTGCTTAATTTTTCAATTCATTGTAGCTAGATTGAAACAATATTTCTTAATATTTTTTACATGTAAATAGTCCAGATTTTTTTCTTTCAAAATGATAGTAATCTTCTATGACACAATTTTTTATATACTTAATCCTTCATAAAATTTGTAATCCTGCAGCAACGCGCAGGTACTATTTTCTAGTTAATCTCTATATCATCAACATACCAAATTGTGAGAAGAATGCAATGATGAAGAAATTTACAAGTGTTTGGGCCTAGAATTTTGAGCAAGAAATTGCCACCATCAATCGTCTTGGTGTCAACTTTTGATTGTCACTTTCGACACTAATTTTTCGGGGTTTCTTCACACTCTATGGGGCGCTTCTAAGAGCCTCCGTTACCAAGATCTCGGTTTTTTTTTATTTTTTTTTCTATTTTTTATTTTTAACAAACGAAAGAGGGTGGGAGAGTGAGGCAGTGAGCTAAGTCTTACAATGGTCTTACCATAATAATGTCATTCAACTTCGCCTTTGGCGAGAATTGAAACTAAGACCTTTCACTTACAAGTGAAGAGGAATACCACTAGACCATAGTACTAAATGGCAACCACGTTGAGTCTATCAAATTCATCCAAATGGGTATCACCCTATTCGACAAATGCCAAAATGTCGGCGGCATTTGGGAGTTCACTTTTCGGGGTTTTGACAAGGAAACCGACCCCTGCGTTCCAGAATCCAGCACTCTCCTTAAATTTAACAACATGGATCTCGATAAATTTCGGAAATTCGACATCGATTAAGAAATTTTGTGGAGGGTTTCTGTTTGGACCAGATTTTACATCATCGGCCCATACAACAAGGTCGTGAGTGAGCAGAGTTCTAGACCATTGGATGATTGAGTTTTTAAGATAATTTTCAGTTATTATTGAGAAATAATATTGTGGTTTTTAATCATAATTATTATCTCTTAATTATTAATGCCAAGGACTCCAGCCGTTCCTTTTCTCCCTTCTGCTTCATTTCCTTTCCGTAACGCGTGATGCTATTCATACCATATTTTTATACCACATTTCTATACCACCTTAGGTGGCATCTGATATGCATAGCCACATCATTTGAAAAATTTGCAAAACCCAAGGAAACGAAGGAGAAAGACTCCTTGTATACCACAATCATCATTTAATTAACTAGTTTTTCTTAATTATTAGTTTATTAAATAATGAAATAAATTAAAAAATCTAATTGATTCAAATGGTGTGGCTATTCATATCAAATGCCACCTAAGGTGATATGAAAACATGGTACAAAAACATGGTATAAATAACATTACTCTTTCATAACCGACAAAGGCTTAATCACCAATTTATTGTCATGTGCCTCTTGGTTTTCCTCGCTGCAGACAATCCCATCTTTCCTTCTTCATCTTATCATTTATGACACACCCCAATCTAAAATCAAGGCGTGATAGGTGACGTAGCCATGTGCATATTAGTTAACTTTCGGTTTTTAATTACTTGTATTTTTCATATCCAATTGCACGCCTTGATTTTAGATTGCGGTGTGTCAATTTAACTTCCAAGAAATTTTAATACATGACATGGAACGAAATCAAAATAAAATGAATACCAAACCAAATCTATATTGTAAACCCCAAAACGTGTACTCAAATTGGTCTACACCAGCTCATTAAATTAAAACCAAGGATTTATAACATGATTTTGATCAAATTCATAAGTCTGACTATAAAAACACAAAGTCATATAATTCCCCTCATTTATATGGACAAGGATCGTCTGCCCTCCACTTTCGGTGCCCTCCCCATGCCCTTTTGCTTGTGTGGTCACGGTTAAGTCATGTTAATATTTTATATTACTATTCGTTTTTGTCTTATATATCTATAAAAAAATAATATAAAATATTGACATGATTTAACTATGACCACACAAAATGAGAGGGTACGAGAAGGACATCGAAAGTGAAGGGCAGACAATCTTTGTCCCATTTATATTCAACATATTGTCAGAGAATGTAACTTTCAGAGTGAAATAAAATATACACTCATCATTGACTAATATTACATCAAAATTTTGATAAATTAATAGAGAAATTACTAAGCGGGTATAATGAAAGCGAATTAGACATGCACTTTTTAGTAATTATTAGTAGTGCTGACAAATACCAACCCAACAGCTTTGCCCAACCCAACTTCGACGAACACTACGACTTGAAGCTTGTCGGAGGAAGACGACGATGAATCTTGTCAGAGGGAGACGACGGTGAATCTTGTGGGAGGAAGACGACGACGAATCTTGTGGGAGGAAGACGATGGCGAAACTTATTGGAGGAAGACGATCGCGAAACTTGTTGGAGGAAGACGATGACCACGCTTAGCAAAGGAAGACGACGGTGACAACAATGGGCAAAGATTCAATGATGGGAAAAGAAGGCATGGAGGGTGGTGGCGGCAATGGCGCCGACAAGGTGGGTGGGTTTTAGTCTCCATTGTCGAGGTTGGGTGATGGGAGGTGGTGGTGGTTGTTGGGTGGGAGGGAAGAGGAAGGGGAGGACGATGTATTTTTCAATTTTGAGGGTTAGGTAGGATGTTTAATTTATTTTCTTAATTTAAAAAAAAAATTCAATATTAGAGTTTGTTGATATTAGACAATTTTAGGCCCACATAATGGTGCATCCCAGGAAAGAAGCCATGAAAAGCTCTAAGAAGTTCAAGAAACCCAGGGTGCAAGTGGGCTTAGAAGAAAATATCCCCGAGTGCTATAACCGACCACCTAAGAGCTAAGCCCGACCAGGATGTGTAAAGAGCTTTTCGACCATCAGGGGCACGTGGGCTGGTTGACAGCTTTATGTCACAAGTCTCCAGGAACAGGCTTACTCAGATGTCAATCATGCCATGTGGTAGCTCCCAGTTAGTGGCACATAGCTAGGATGGGATGTAAAGGTAGTTGAAATGGCACTCGGAGAGGCACAGTTAGATAACCAAGCCCAAGTGTCCCGCTCGCCCTACATCATTCTGACATAACACGCTATTTCAATTGAACACATGTCACGTCACCGCCAAATATCTGGTTGATAGATAGAAAAGTGTTAGAATGCTAGTGTACATAAATGGGGCATTAAATGCCAATTGGGGGAAGATCCAAGTCTCATGGGTTCATTAAGCACCTATATAAAGGGGTGAGAACCTCTTGTATTGGGGCCAGACAACTGAAGAGAGGGAAATAATTTATGTATTAGCCGAGCACTATTTTAAGTTTTATAATCAATAGAATCGGAGCAACAGATATTTCAATTTTAAAGGGTGAACTATTTGCCCATAGCTCAAGCCCACGGTTTAATACTTTAATCTGTTAACCTGTAGACAAATTAATGGTGAAGAAGAATCCGATCAAGAATAGTTGTGTGAGTTCTGTGGCTTTTATCCGCAAAAATCTTATGAAGTCATTGTGTCCGGTGTCTGGTGTCTACACTGCAGAGGGTGCCTTTGAGTTGGTGAGAAGTAGACATGTCACCTGAATTCATGTAAAGCTGCAAAGGGTTCCTCTGGTTACATACAACCAAGCCAGTTTTTCATTTCACAAGTATTTCTGATTTGTTGAAGATGGAAGAAAAGTCCCAGATTCAAATCCCTTTAGTTAAACTGGGCAGTCAAGGATTGGAGGTAAGCACGTTTTCATCTCACTTCAATTCCTAACAAGTCAACTATATTATGCTCATCAACTTCGAACCGACTAATTAAGAGCAGATTTCTCAACTCTTTATTTACCTTCAAGTTTGAATCAGACTTTTGTACGCTGATTGATTTATATATGTTCAACTCGGAAACAAAAAAGTGAAATTTTCGGTCTTAAAATATGAGGGAGTAGCTCTTCTCTGATTTATTCCTCTGAATCATACAGCTACTTATTAGTAGATTACTCTCACTGGGGAGAATACCTGATTAAAACAATCAAACTCTAAGAGTTGAGAAATCAGTTTGGTTCGTATATACTTTTTTTGCTTTTTTCGTTTTTTTTTTTTTTCGTTTACTGGGTTTAGTATATATACTTGGTTGGAAGTTGGTATTTTCTTCATGTGGGAGTATATAAATTGGTGATTATTTAACAAGAAACTTGCTGTTAAATTAATTTCTGTCATGGTTTTTACTTTCATCCGCATCGCAGGTTTCTAGACTGGGTTATGGATGTGGGGAACTATCTGGAATATACAGTGGCGATAAAGTACCTCTCACTCATGGATGTGCAATCATTAAGGTAGCATTCAATAGGGGGATCACCTTCTTCGATACTTCAGATTCATACGGTCTTAACCATCACAATGAATTATTGCTTGGAGAGGTAAATGTTGTTTTTTTCTCTGAAATCCAATCAAGATGAGATTAGATCAGTTTCTTGCACTAAGTAATTGTTGAGTACGCAGTGCAATGTAATTAAAGAGGAAAACGAAAGTAACACAACATAATGTTTGATACGGCATTCTTACAGAATTAATTTAATCTTCTTGTATTTACAGGCTTTGAAACAGCTTCCTAGAGAGAGAGTTCAATTGGCTACAAAGTTTGGCGTTGTCATGTCGGGCGACTATCAATTTCAAATGAATGGAACCCCAGAGTATGTAAGAGAAAGCTGTGAAGCTAGTCTTAAGCGGCTGGATGTCAGCTACATCGATCTGTACTATCAGCACCGTGTTGATATTTCAGTGCCAATTGAGGATACGGTAAGCATTGACAGACTTTCGGCCTTCCATATATCATCCTTTCTGTCCATTGTTTCCAAGTGCAAGTATATTACCTCTATATCTTGATGGCTAATGGCTAATCTGTATTGAATTACCTTGCATGAGGAAGATGGGGGAGCTTAAGAAGCTGCTAAATGAAGGAAAGATAAGATACATTGGTCTATCGGAAGCTAGTGCCGACACAATAACTAGAGCTCATGCTGTTCATCCCATCACTGCTGTGCAAATGGAGCACTCTCTGTGAAGTCGTGAAACTGAAAATGATATCATTCCCCTTTGCCGGTTTGTTACCTTTACCTATCTGAGTTTTACAATGTCAAGTTCACAAGTTTATTTTCCTAGCTGGGTGAAGATTGCTGTTTTCAGAAACATGGAGTTAATGGATTTGGTTGATTCCCAGATCAAATAATGTAATATTAATTCAAAATCTGAGTGGGGAAAATAATATTCATCAGTATTTCACCTAATTGTACTTACAGGAAGCTTGGAATCGGGATAGTATCATACAGTCCACTTGGTCGTGGATTTTTTGGTGGGAAGGCAATGTTAGAGAGCTTGCCTGAAGAGAGTTTGCTGATATGTTACTTCACTTATATATAAGTATATAGACATAGGTTTGGGTGGCTTATTTCGTTAGAGCAATCACTTAATTCCGAACTCACATTGTTGCGGTCGTGTCTAAGTATACGCATACTAGGTTCAATGGCAAGAATTTGGAAAAGAACAAACTTCTGTATAGCAAATTTGCCAGCCTTGCTACAAAGTATGCCTGTACTGCTCCTCAATTAGCTCTGGCGTGGCTTCTCCATCAGGACAATTATATTATTCCGATCCCTGGTATATTTATATCTTAATTAATTCTCTTTCTCTTAAACATAAAGCTGTTCTCTTACTCCTTTGTTATTGAACATAGATTTTAAATACAATTTAACGTTTGAAGTTGTTAATCAACGCAATTAATGAATACTTATGTTCCATATATTTTGATTATATGCAGCGACAACTCAAGTTAAGAACCTTGATATCAACATTGGATCGATGGATGTGAAGCTTACAGAAGAGGACTTGAAAGAAATTGCTGATGCTGTGCCCGTTGATGAAGTTGGTGGTGATCGAGAATTCGAATTTCTTGCGAAATATGCCTGGAACTATGCAAATACCCCATCAAAGCAATCAATATTATCTGTGCCAAAAATAAAAATAAATTATCAAGTTTTGAGTACAGACATTTGATCTTTCTGGTTTGCATAGTTGCCCTTGCACCAGTGAAGATGGACTGATGGAGATCCCTCCATCTCGTTTCTTTCTAATATTGTTTGCTTTTGTTTTTGGTAAACCTTACATGTCTGCTGCTTTATCTTCTTCAAGTAAATAACTTTTAACTCTGAGTGTATGATCTATTTATCAATTGGTCATTGTTTGCTAGTTTTGTCGGCATGCCTAGCAATGATGTTAGCACTTCCCTCAGTACGCCAATTTCCTTGTCGTTAGGTTTCTCATTAGGTGTGGACTCGGAAAACTAAAAACCGAAAAAAAATCGAGCCTAATACTGAATCGATAAAAACTGAAACGAAACTAAAGAATTGAACCAAACTGACAACTATTGATTCTGTTTCGGGTTTGATGACTCAAAAACAAAATCAAACTGAACCTGATGTTTATAAAAAAAAAAAAAAAAAAAAAACGTAATTATGTTGCAAGGTCTGAAAACCTTCAATGTAAAAAAAAAAAAAAAAAAAAGCTTAATTATCTTGCAAAAAGCCCTATATAGAAAACCCTAGCTAGCAATTATAAATACGGGTACGTTAATACTTGAGTCTCCCTAGGGTTTGCTGTTGTTGGCTTTGGCTTTGAGCATTGTTTACTAAGAAACAACGATGTTAACTCTCAAGCTCTCTAGCTCACTAGCTCCGGCATCCTCGCTGTGAGCTCTTTTGCTTCGGTAACCCATTGTGAGCCTTTTTGCATCCTTTTTGGATTCTGTCTCCAACGTCTTGGTGGTGAAAGCTACGCCCTTTTCGGCTAAGTTAGTGGGTCAGCTCATTGATGAGAGTGAACGCGAATTTTTTGTTTTATATATGTAATTCATTGAATCCAATGATTGATATTTAATATGATCAAATCTAACGTAAAAAAAAAAAAAAAAGCCAATGTGCCAAATTTAAATTCAACTGCTAAAATAATTAAAAAATTATTTAAATCAAAATTCACCAAAAAACTTTGTAAATACGTATATATTTGTTCAAACATCCATACAAATTGCACATTTTCCCTACAATTCTTCCAATTTTTCCTTCTACCATCTTTCAAAACCATTTCTTTCCATTTCCAATTTCTCCAAGATGTTAAAAGATCATATTAGAGGTTGGTTTAATGATTTTTCAATATTTATCAGAATCTAAATATTTTTAGGTTAAAATATTCAAAAATTAAATTAGGATAGTCTACATAATATTTTTTTTTAAGGTTACTTTGAAAAAAAAAAAAGCTTAAATTCATGCTTTAATAATCGCAGGCTAAAAATTTATTGGGGCAGAAAAGCTGTTTTTGGTTAAAAATTTTAGGTTTTAACCTAAGAGTTGGAAATAGTCTTATAATCTTTTACACTACGTTTGGATGAAGAAATTTAATTTGGATGAAGAAATTTAAGATTATTAAGAAATTTTAAAATGACGAAAATTGAAATGACGAGATTTTATTTTCTAAAATTTGTGAATTTTCTTATTTGGTTAACTTAAAAGAACAATAAAATTGAATACGGAATTTGTTATTTTTAAACTCTCAATCATAAAAATTGGAAAATGACACCAATTCACATGGAATTTAAACTTGGGATACGAAGGTTCCAAATTCCAAGTTTTTTTTTTTCACACGGAAATTCTAAATTTCTATGCGTTTGAATCCAAACAAGGAAATTGATGCATTTCAATTTATAAATTCTGACTTTTATCTAAATTTCAAATTTATTTTTCTCATCTAAATATAATATTATAGTCTCATGAAAAAAAATTTACATTTAACTTTTAAAAACTAAAATTTGGTAGTTTTATAACTTATCTTGGGGATGCTCTACATTGGCCCATTGCTCAAAAGATCAAAGAAAATGCATGCCAAAAATAAGATGAAAAAAAAAAAGAAGTGAAAACCTCGAACAAATGTGACCTCAGAAATGTCTGACTGCTACATAGTGGTGTCTGCAGACGCCACGTCTCTCTCTCCACCATGTGTGGACAACAAAATCACGTGGCCAGTTATTAGTGGTAAAGGCAAATGGAGTGACGTGGCCCCATATATCCACCGTTCATGAGCAAAATCACGTGGCCAGTTATTAGGGGTAAAGGCAAATGGAGTGACGTGGCCCCATATATCCACCGTTCATGAGCTTCCCCTACTCGGGCCATTGCATTGCACTATAAAACGCCACTCAAGGCATTCAAGATTAATACACAAGAACTAAAGATCAACCACTTCAAACTAAGCCGTCAAAGTTTCCTATCTCCTCTTTGTTTATCTTTAATTTGGGATTACTGCAATAGCATCACATACAATGGCAGCATCACCTTCCATGCAATCGCTTCTAGCTAGCTCGGTAGTTTATGGAGCTGGAAAGAGCAGATCAGTGAGAGTTAGCCACCTTGTTCCTGCTAATAGGTTCCGTCGCATGGTTGTCCGCTCCACGGCCGAGGTAACTACGTCTTTGCATGTCTAGTTTGGTCATTTGATTAACATCATAATCATATATATTGTACAAAATATCCTAGTTAACCATGTACTTAATTTGATTAATCTTCTTTCATTTGCAGAATGGTCAGGAGGAGCGACCATCTTCTTCAATACCAGAGGCATCCAAAATCCCACCACCGCCTCCTACACCTACTCCTTTTCCTCCTCGTCCAAAGAAGGCCAGCACTAAGTTCTCAGATGTGTTTGCATTCAGTGGGCCAGCCCCGGAGAGAATCAACGGCAGACTTGCAATGGTAGGGTTTGTTTCAGCTTTGGCAGTGGAGCTATCCAAGGGCCAGGATGTGTTTTCTCAGATCTCCGACGGTGGAGTTTCGTTATTCCTTGGAACTAGTATTTTGCTCTCAGTGGCATCTGCGATTCCTCTATTCAAAGGAGTCAGCGTGGAGTCCAAATCAAATGGGCTCATGACGTCTGATGCCGAGCTCTGGAACGGAAGGTTGGCCATGTTAGGTTTGGTTGCTTTGGCCTTCACTGAGTATGTGAAGGGAGGGACTCTTGTTTGATTAGGTCCTAATTCGTACGGGTGTTTTGTAGCTTTAATTATTCCTTGGAAAAGTTTCCACATGTAATTAGGGTTTACCAGTTTTTATAAGAAATTCGGGATGTCGTCAAAACTCTAAATAAGGATCAAACTATTCGTAGTTCGTTAAGCCATTCGTAGTTTGTCATTCGTCAAACTCTACTCTTTTGGTAAAATACTTCTAGTAGAAAACATAGGGTACTACACTACACATCAACCATAAGCTAAACACAAGTATCATCTTGTCATGCAAGCATGTATGCTATTCCCACACATATGCTTTCCAATTCATCTTTCATATAAATCACTATGTTTCACATAATACCGCAATTCATAGTATGCAACATCTCCAAAAAAAAAAAAATCACATTGTTTTCCTCTAGCCACAATGGTCTAATCATAATGACAACAATTACAACCAACATTATTCCATAATCACATCAATTAATAACACATCATATACCAACATGCAGGGTTAAAGCGATACAGTTCAGTCGAAACTTACATCTCTAAAGTTGATATCAAATCAAAGGAACCAATAAGTCAAACGCTGCGATTTTGGACCACTCAACGAAATCCATCAACATCGGGTTCCAGACCACTTAACGGAACCAAGACACCAAAAGGGATTCTAGACCACTCAACGGAATCAAGACGCCAATGGGGATTTCGGACCTCTCAACAAAATCCAAACCATGATACGATTCCGGACCATCATTCAACGAAATTCAAGTAGATACGATTCCGGATCATCACTCAACAGAATCGTGGAGTAGAAGGGATTCCGTACCATCACTCAATGGAACTGAGTGGAAGGCCAAGGGACATATCAATGGCTCGAAGGAACAAAACATGAACCAAGTGCTCAATTTACAAAGGCTCAACGAAATGAAACATGGCATTAGTACTAAATTGAGAACGGGTCAACAAAGCGAGAAGTGAAACAATATCAAAGCAACAAATCCTCATCACAATGGGTTAACGGTCCACTACTAGCTCTCACATTTCACAAGCAATTCAATATGCATTTCAAATCACATGTCACAAACATTTCCAATACACAAGTCAAATCACATTTTCAATAGAAAACACATTTATAAAACCAAGTCATATCTACAAAGGATACTAAATATGGAAACAGGGTAATAACTATACCATATATATTAGTCACTCATATTCCATCACATTAGGCTAAACATACAAATCAACCACATTCCACAACAAGTTCAATACATAAGTCAAATCACATAAAATAAACAAGCATATCACAATGTAATGTCATCAATACGTAAATCGAGGAAGGCACGTCATCATGCTGAGCCTAATAAGCTCCATGGAGTCTCAACAACATTCTAAGATCAACAACACGCTAGAAGAACTCGGACTAGTTGATTAAAAGCCAACCGTCAATTAAGGTCGAGAGTAGGGTCCACAACCCTAGAAATCTAAACAGGAAGATCCACCTATTAGCTTTCTAATCCGTAACTTCCCAAAGTCCACATAATTATTCTAGAACAACATACTAAAATTTCTTTATGATCTAACAGTTGGATCTCCGCCCATCGCAAATTCAAGTGACGGCCAACGTTTGATTTTACAAATTTAGAAATCCAATTCGGGAAGATCCGTACGTAGGATTCCTGATCCGTAAGTTCCTATTGTCCTCAAATATTATGTACTATTATGTATTAAAGTTTGATGCCGATCCAACGGACAGATTTCCAATTTCATCCAAACCCACCAGAAACCCTAGAAATGGGTGGCTTCAATCCGCCGTCACTTGGGCTCCGCCGCCCCTAAAGTTGTTTGGGCTTTGTTCCTAGGTCCAAGGGAATTAGATTAAGGGTGGTGGTGGGTGGTGAAACTCGCCGGAACGGCGGGATAGCCATCGAACCCTCCCGCGAACCCGGTGTCCTCCTTCACGAATTTTGGACCAAAAACCCTTCGATCTTGGACGATGATGGTAGATGGAAGGTCGTGGAAGAGGTTGCAGGTGATGGATGGGTGAAAATCGCCTGAAAAACGGCTGAGAACCGCCGGAAAACACTCTGGTTCGAAACTGGGTCGCTGCATGTGGATGGGTCGACGGGAAGGGAGGTCATTTCTCTCCCTTTCCTGATTGGTCCCTTCCTTCCCCGCCCCCTCCTCCTCCTTTAATTTTTTATTGGTTCCAAAAAACAAAAAAAAAAAAAAAAAAAGGTCTGATTGGCCATCTTTCCCACAAGGTGGGAGTTTAATTAAATTATTATAATATCTATACTAATTAATAAAACATTTACTGTCAATCAAAACCTATGAAATTACCAGTTTAACATTCTAATTAAAAAAGAACATGATTAAGAAATATGGGGCATAAATGTAATTTCATACAACCAAATTTTGCTGTTTTTTTTTTTCAAAACCTCACCTATATATTATCCTAATATATCTCTAATTATAAAAAAAATAAAAAAAATAAAATTTCCGACTCTCATATTCTCTATCACTCTCTTCCTTTCTCCTTTTATTTCAAAAACAAAAATAAAAAAATTTCTCACGCACTTTGTGTGTGCCCATATGCTAGTAAAATTTAATAAAATGACTTCAAATATCCGTAACTATACCGTTCAAACCCGAATTCGCAAACGGTTTTCGCCTATCCGTTCGTGGTTTCGAGATCAATTTGAAAACGTTACTTGTGACCTCAAAAGGTCCACAAATTTTAAATAATTAATTTCCAAACTTCAAACTTCGTAACTAGTGTAATTAAAATCTAAATTAAAATAAATTAATATAAATTCTCCAAAAATAGTATAAAATCTCAATAATACAAATACGTAGATTATAACAGTAAAATCTAGGAATGAGATTTCACATGTTTCCTATGAGTTTTAATATGACTTCTTGACAATTAATAGTGCCTTAAAAAGTCCTGCTATTATATTTGGTTGGTAAGAAAAAATGTAAATACAAAACCACCAAAGTCCGAAACCCAAGCAGCAAGGGACTAACAAGATTGACCCAAAGGAGCAAGGGCATCGGCAATCATCATCTTTCAAGACGCGTTTGTATCAAAGAATCGTCAATAATATTGTTATTTTTGTGTGACTAACATAAAAATTATTGATCCGCATGACAACAACAAATGGTCATCCAAAGACTACTGCTGGTGTGAGTGTGATATTGACCAAACTCTCAAAGAGACGGCACATGGACATGTACAAAGTACTGGTGTGATGTTAGTCTAATTGCCTTATCTTTGATAAGATTGTCAAAGTAGGTCGTGGATAATTTGAGTAATTGTGACGAGTTTAGTATTGTAGACAAGTTATTTTGACCATCCATGCCAATTAATATTGGGGTGTGCTATCTACACATTTTTTTTTACTTCTCACACACCTTTTTTTACTTCTCACACACCATTTGTTAATTTCTATATGTTGATCTTCTTCAATCCATCCGATCCGAAGGCCAAAAATTAGAAGGGTGTGTGAGAAGTAAAAAGGGATGTGTGGATATCACATCCCTTAATATTTAGTCGGTATAGAAAGATTCCAAGTACTCCAAGTTTTTTTTAGAATCTCTTTCCAAGTATTCCTCCACCTCTTTGACCCTGAGCCTCTATCTCGTAATCGGGTGCATCTTCGTTTCACATGTCTAAACCACCTTAACCGATTTTCTGTCATCTTATCTTCAATTTCGGCTACACCTACTTTACCTATGCCACTTAAATTATAAAATATGAATTTGTTTTCTAGGGAGATAACCATGTTGTTTGTCCTTATCAATTATAACATACAAAATAATATATCATATGACTTGTATTTCGGACACCTGTGAAAAATTTTCAAACAATGGAAGATAAAAGAAAGTTCCTTCTATTAGACCAGTAGATTTTGCGAACAATGGAGAAAATGAGGCCGCCTTAATTATATTCAGAGCCGATCAAATGTACGGAGGCCTAAGATGAAAATAAAATGAGGTCTTCTTGAATAAGATATTTTTTTTCCTTCTTATCAAGAATAAGGTGAATGACTCTAGCAGAGAGTACATACGTTATGTGTGTGAACAATTTCTATTAATAAGTGCATATTTTTTTTAATATTTCATAATTACTGTTTTGTCCTCCTTATGTAAATATTGTGTATCAAAAGTGATGGTAAAATTAGAAAAATAAGTATATGCTTGTCATTTTCTTAAAAAAAAAAAAGGGTAAAAATAGGAAAAATAGGGATATGATTGTCATTTTGTCAAAAGGTACAAAATTACTATCTTGCCCTCATTTTGTCAATAATGTGTATCAAAAGTGAGGACAAAATAGAAAAAAAAAAGAGAAAAGTTGACAATGAGGAATCGCTTAATAATATAGAAGTATAGATAACAAGAATATGAAGAAAACATAAGCGTACTTGAGAATTAATGAGGCCCAAAACGCATATACCATTGCACCCAGCTGCATGTATGGAAAAGACCAGCACAAAGCTGTCCTAGCTATAAAACAATGCAATTATACAAGTGACTGTGAGAGAGTGAGAGTAATCATGTAACATTTTTCTTCCCGACGAAAATGAAGCATAAAGATCCATCCGCTAGTTCAATTGTGTTTGCTATTGCTACATGGTGTCCCCTAGCTGAAAGCTTGAAACGAGTTGTGGCCCCGTACGTGAGACATTCGTCTTTTGCTCAAAATATCAACCAAAAAAAAAAAAAATGGTAAAGACCTAACGTAAAAATTGGGCAAGCAACACTGGATCAAGAGGGCGGGTGTTGTTACATGTGAAATGTCAGTTTCCGTAGGATTATGTACAGAAATATTATCTGTGAAGCCTTTTAATTTGTTTTCCTTTTTATAACGTTTTTGGATTTCATTTTTTATTTAGGAAAACTAATGAAAAGGGTTTAAAAACTTTGAGTTTTAATGATAAGGATAAAATAAAAGGTAAATTGAATAGTACCAGGATTGACTTTTTAGTGTAAAAATGTGGTTTTTCGTTAAAGTGAATAGTACTACGGGATTTTCATTAAAACTTGCTTTTTTTTTTTTTTCGGATGCTGAATGCTACAAATTCCTACTTTTCTCTGCCTCCTTCCCCTCTACTTGCACCAGTTGCGA